CAGCAGGAGCTTTGGCTAAAACAGCCTGGGCCTGCTGAGCCAGATTTCCTGAGGGCTGCCCAGTAGACACCACAGATGTCTGGCTCAGTCTGCAGCGAGAGTCCTTCAGCTCCATCACAGAGTGCTCTCCAATGTGTTATAGTTATCCTTAAAGCTCTTCAATTCCAGGAAATGCTTGGCACGTTTACTCTTCTGACTGGAGGGAAGGTATGTCACCTGGATAGTAGTTGGGGAGACTTCAGGGGACTGAGTTAGGTCTTTGGCTGCTGACTGGTGCTGTCGCTGAGAGCTCCCAACTCGTGCTTTGACACTAAAAATACAAAGAGGGGAGGTTATGGACAGAATGAGGACTAGCAGAAGAATACAATTCAGGTCCTTTCCTTTCCCATAAATGTAGCCACAAATGGTCTCTGACCTATCTTATAAACTAGTTACTAAAAGCCTATCTGAGAGCTTAGAAATAAAGAAACCAGTAAGATGTGGTAGTTCACACCTGTAGTTACATTCAGGAGGCTAACGCAGGATGATCACAAGTGGGACCGACCTTGACAACTTGGCAAGACTCTGTCTCAAAATAAAAAAATTTCAAAAAGGGCTGGGGATGTAGCATAGCAGTAGAGTACCCATGAGTTTAATCTTCAGTGTCATTAAAAAAAAAAGTTTTTTTTTTTTTATGTGGTGCCGAGGATCGAACCCAGTGCCTCACACATGCTAGGCAAGCTCTCTGCCTCTGGGCCTCAGCCCTAAAGAAAACTTTTAATTTTACTGATTTCACCTAATGTATGTATGTAGTGAACATATTCCTAATCTAAAGAAAGTCCCTTGAAAGCTAAATATAAATAAATAAGAACAGAAGCAGCTATTGGGTACTTGACATGTTAGCATATTACACTTGGTGGTTTACATCTAATTTACTAACATCACCCTCTATTTTTTGTATTGCCTAGTTGTGCAGGTTAAGAAATGGAGGGTCCAATAATTAACCTGTATGAGGTCACAAAGCTATTAAGTGACAGACTGGGTATTTGAACCTAAGGTTGTCCGACTGCAAAGCCTATATTCTTTTTACTATACCCACTGAAGCTTTCTAGAAGCCGAAAGAAAAAATTTTAAAAAACCTGTAATAATATACGTATAAAACTTTTCATTTAACCATTTTAAAACATACTTCAGTAGCTTCAAGTACATTCACAATATTGCACGACTAACCTCCAATTAACACTTTTCAACTTGCAAGTCTATGCTCATTAAACTAGTTTTCATTTCCCCTTTCCCCAATGCCTAGCAACCACCATTCTACTTTCTGACTCTGAATTTGACTTCCTAGGAATCCTATACAAGTGGAATTTGTATTTATCTTTCAGAAGATTTTAAAATAGATTTCCTGCCTAACTCCAATCATTTTTTTCCAGCTTGTTGCTACCTTTTTTTTTTTTTTTTTTGGTACCAGGGATTGAACCCAGGGGTGCTTAACCACTGAGCTACATCCCCAGCCCTTTTTATATTTTATTTAGAGACAGGGTCTCACTAGGTTGCTTAGGGCATCACTAAGTTGCTGAGGCTGGCTTTGAACTTGCAATCTTCCTGCCTCGGCCTCCAGCTGCTGGGATTACAGGCGTGCACCACCACACCTGGTTCTTTTTCCAGCTTCTTTGATCATTTTCATTACTGCTCTAAAGTTTTCACTGGCACCTTCTGTCTTTGAGAACAAGGTAGTTCAGGCTAGGTGTGGTAGCACATGCTTCTAACCCCAGCTACTCAGAAGGCTGAGGCAGAAGGATCCCAAGTTTGAGGACCGCTGGGCAACTTGGTAAGAACCTTTCCCAAAATAAAAACCGGGGTATAGCTCAGTGGTAGAGCACCCCTGGGTTCAACTCCTAGTACCAAAAAGAAAATAAAAACAAACAAAAAATCCCAGCATAGCTCATTTTTAGAACGGAGAGAAGACAGAATAGACATACTCCTTATGTCTTGAGAAAGTCATGCCAAACACAACAGAAAACAGATGTATTCTTTTCATGGATGGTAACTAATTTAATTCTAAATTGGCCTTCTTTTTTTTCACCAAACACTTTAAGATATGCATAAACAACATAATGAAACTATATTGAGTACATATTTAAAACATTCTCAAACAGAAGTCATGACTCCTCTTCCTTCTCTTAGGTAATATCTTTGTATCTTAGGATATTACTACCAAGTGTAATATCCTGTTAACATCCTAACATGTTAATGAAAGTCATGATTCCCAAACAGAAGTCATGACCCTCCCCAGGGGCAGTGGTGCATGCCTGTAATCCCAGTGGCTTCAGAGGTAGAGGCAGGATTCCAAGTTCAAAGTCAGTCTTAGCCACTTAGCTAGGCCCTAAGTGAGACCCTGTCTCAAAATAAAACAAAAAAGGGCTGGGGATGTGATTCAGTGGTTAATCACCCCTGAAGTTCAATCTCTGGTACCAAAACAACAACAACAACAATAACAAAATAAGTAAACAAACAAAAACCCCAAAACTGACTCTCTAGTGGTGACCTTTGTTCCAGATAAGGTTATAATGCTTTAAGTAGTAATAAAAATGGGTGGCATTTAATGCTTTATTAGGTTCTGCCAATTTTGACATTTAATTGGGCTGGAAAAAAAAGAAAAAGATGCACATAAAGTAAAAGAATTCTCTTATTACTTATGTGGTAGCATCTTCTTTCTAATATGGCAAGAGGCAATTCTAATAGTCTTATGGTATCATGGATATTCATTCATACTGCTTTATGAAAGCTACTGCATAAATATTAGGAACAGTCCAGCACTTCTAATACTTCTGATATTCTCTAACCAGCTCCCTTTGACATGTTCCCCTCCAAACTCACACAGTGGCCAGCTCACTCAGGGCCTCTTGATAGCGCAGGTACTCACTCTGGCCAAACACCTTAGGAAAGAGAAAAGATGAGGATCTCTTAGTCTGGCATATTCCTTTAGATACTTGAAGGAAAAACTGGCCATTCAGCTCACCCCTGTCCCGTAGCGGGCTGTCTCGTAGCCATCCAGCAGGGTATCGATAAGGGCCTTCCGCACACCCTTGAAAGGAGTACTAGTGTTTCGAAGATCTAGCAAGTAGGAGCGGAAATTCTTGCCCATTAAGGAACAGGGGTGCCTGCCTTCAGCATGAA